TCAATGAATAGATATTGAAAGGTATGGAGAACAAACAGGAAACTATGATCAACAAAGAATTTCACTAGCAGAAACTTGATAACATGAAAAGTCTGTATCTGTTAAGGATTCTAAAATGTCTAACTTAGGAAAATGTTCCTCTTTACCTCAACTCTTTGTCTTCTATTAGTTAGCCAATCCTCTTTACATGCTCATTTACTACCTCTAACATCATGGGTCCTTATCTTGTTAAGTAGCTTAACATGTGGTACCTTAATAAATGTCCTCTGCAAACCAAATATCTAACCTTCTTGTCACATCGTCAAAGAATTCTAATAAGTTTGTCAGGTGTGATTTCCCCTTTGTGAAGCCATGATGACTCTAATCATATTTCTTCTGGTCATATGTATATCTAAATGCTCTGCATCCTTGTAGACACTGACATTTTCTCAATAGCAGAGTTAAGCTAACTGGCCTATGGTGACCTGTTCTTTTGTCTTCACTTTTTAAATAAATGTGTTACATTGGCAGGTTTCCAACTATTCTGACACTTTTCCAGATTCTAAGGATTTTTGGGAGATTACTAGCAGTGTATCCACTATCCTAGGATGCATCACGTTTGTCTACTACAGCTGGTGGAAGAGTTTGGCAGAGAAACTGAGTTCTGGTAGAAGCACAAGCTTGGGAAACTAAGCAAAAAGAAAGTAAAACATCCTGGGACATCCAGAGGAACTCTTGGCTGGAATTAAAAGCAGAAAAGGAAAGTCTGTTGGAAATTTTCAGGTTTGTGAGGAATCACTAAATATAGCGTTAAATTCTTGCTTTAATTCTTGAGGAGTAAATTCTATGAGTTCAAATAAACGGAGAGCACCCCCTTCTCAAGCAATATTCATACAATTAGCAGCTAAAAATTGAAAGCGTTTGCACCGTGGTACAGTTCCTAATAAGCATTCAAAACACATTTTTCATAAGATGATCCCCAATCAAGCAATCTCAAATGAATTTCCTGTTAGTGGCCTTCCGTCACAATTCTTTAACATATAAAATTGTTATTACTACTAACTTCCCGAACACCCTTTTAATGGGAAATCATCACAGCCGTATTAAAATAAGCAATGCCTATAATGGTTTTATGACAGTACTTTTATGACAATGTTGTTAGGGAGGGAGTTCCAGGATTTTGACCCAGCAGCAGTAAAGTAACTGTCATATAGTTTCAAGGCAGGCTGATGTATGGTTGGATGGGAACTTGCAGGTGGTGATATTCCCGTACATCTGCTGCCCTTGCTCCTCTACGTGGCAGAGGTCCTGGATTTGGAAGGTTTGCTGTTCATGGAGCCTATATGAATTGCTGCAGCGCATCACAAAAATCGTACACACTGCTGCCACTGTGCATTGATGGTGGAAAGAGTGAATGTTGAAGCTGGTGGATAGGGTACCATGAAGAGAGCTGCTTTGTCCTTTATGGTGTCAATCCTTTTAAGTGTTGTTGAAATTTTATTTATGTACATCAGGGGTATTGAGTCATCCATAAAATAGAGCTAATTAAGAAAAAGTCCCTTTTGTGAATGTGTGTCATAATTTATTTGAGTCATATTTAGGGAGCATGGTGGCTCAGTGGTTAGCTGCCTCACACCGCCAGAGACCTGGGCTTGATTCCAGCCTCCGGTGACTGCCTGTGTGGAATTTGCACGTTCTGCCTGTGTATGCATGGGTTTCCGCGGCTGCTCTGGTTTCCTCCCACAGTCCAAAGATGTACAGGTTAGGTGGATTGGACATGCTAAATTGTTCATAGGGTCAGGGATGTGCAAGCTAGGTGGATTAGCCATGGTAAATATGAGTTAAGTGAATAGGGTAGAGGACTGGATTTGGGTGGAATGTTCTTCGAAGGGTTGGTGCAGACTCAATGAGCCAAATGGCCTTCTTCTGCCTTTTGGGATTCTATGATTAGTACTAGAATGGAACACCTCTCTGCATTTTCATCAATGTTAGCTTTAAGGTCAAGCTCCACCTGTTAATGCCAAGAAAATGACACAGTTTTAATCAGTCAGGAGTTTTTTCTACTTGTCATTGTAAGTTTTTTTTGCTTCTATGACTTATCCTGAAATAGGGTGATGACTTCCCAAAAGTGTTGCACGATGGTTGCTTACATGCAGGACAAGGAGACAGTTTCACCCACTGTTGCATTTATACCCAGGTCACAAAGGTGGTCCCCCATTGCAACACCCAGTTCTCCTTTCTGAAAAAAAGGGGCAATTTTAACTTTGGTGATGGTGTAAAACAAGTAAAATGACTCTGACTGCTCCCCAAACCTGGCTCAACTTTCATGGTATTCAATGGAAAATAAATTCAGAGTTTATAATATGTGGACAATTTGATATCACAAATTTTAAACAATTACCAAATTTCCCTCAATAAAAAGATACATCATGAATTTCAAGTGAAACAGTAAAATATTGGGATAAAATACATCATGATTTACAGTCTTGATGAGGCCGTTTCCTAATACCAAGTAACTGTTTCTTACAAATGTATTGAAACATTCCTGTTCTCAATTCAAAAGCATTTTTCACTAATCAGTCACGTATATGCTGGGCCTGTATAATTTTCATTTGCCTAGAATTTAGTTAGTTTAGTTAGGAGTGTGGATAAGGCTCTCTTCCCCGTAGTGGTCAACAGCAATGATAAATTCCAGAAAATTTAGTCCATAATTTACATAGCATATGCATTTGAAAATACATGAGTTTATTTACACTATACAAGGATGAGTTACATACATTTCCCTCACTATGAAAAAAGAACATTTGGTCTTGCCAGAATACAAGTCAATTGACTTTGATAAATAGATCATCTCTAGCACAGAGGGAAAACCAGATTTTAGCTTTTGGAAACAAAACCAGCTGATACAACATGTTCCTGTTTGAGTGAAAAAAAATTAGATAATTGCAACATGATAGACTTTATATGGAAAGTATTCAATAATGCCACTGTATACCTTGGTGCCATAGATAGGAAAGTTAAAGCATACTCATGCAATTCAATGTTGTTAATACCATGAATGATGCAAGTTATTTGCTTAGTTTCATTATTTCCAAACAACTTCCCAGTTAATTCAAAATCTTTTAGCGTTCACTCTGGATAAAACTAAAGGATTCTGCTGTAATCACAAATAAACTTAAAACTGCTAAGTTACAACCTTCAAAAGATATTCATTGGAAAATTACATACAAGGACTTGGGATACATATGTTTTAGTTTTTCTAAAGGCTAATCATCATAATTAATCTTGAAACTTTCAAATTACCACATGTAAATGTAACTAGCCAATAGAATAGTTTCAGGACATTTTTTTAGCTTGGATTACCACATTACATACACACACACACACATATATACATAGATATTTAAATATATCCCTTCTATACTGGATATTGTTATAATAGTGTCTCACTGGAGAATCCAATGGAGATTTATTTAGCCAGATTCAGCAGGGAGATAAAGTAACATTGAAGATACACTAATTGCTGAAGTTCCTCAGGTTAATAGCTATATCTCTGCTGATATTAATTCAGATCTTCCATACTGTTGGCTTCAATAATTCCTCCAAAGTGGCTTTCCTAACATTATTAGCATTCATTGTTGAAAACAATGACAAGACAAAACAGAGCCAGAACCTTTTTAAGAATGACTGCTCAAAACTGAACAGTGTTGCACTCTCCTTACATTTAATCAGATCCCACATTTGTCTGTGTATTTGGATTTGGGTCACTACATATTTTTCAGGCTTAAAATCAGCACTTTTGGATTCTGGAATATTATTTCAACAATGTTGTATTCATAATAGAAAATTTATATTAGTGTGTGCACATGTGAAACTGCGTAATTGGTGAGAAAGAAAGTGTGCCTATTAGGTAAGTGGTGCATGTGTTTAGGGATAAATAATCAGTGAGCTTCAGGAGCAGTGTGTGTTTGAGGAAGACTACATGGGTTCGGTAGGATGAGGGGTAAATCCGAAACTGTGGAAATTGCATATTAATCAACTGAGTAAACATAACATTCCTACACAGTATTTATTCAGTTAAATAATTATGTGACAAACAAATTTTTGTTGATTTGCCATCTTACACCGAAAAGGTGTGGGACCTCTTTCGATGTGAATATTTGGAAACTTTGAAAGACATATTTCTTGTGAATTGGAGACCCTGCATAAGTGAAGATGACATATGAATTGACTATATGCGGATAAATCATAGACAATTATGACGCACTCTTCATATGAATAAAATAAACTTTCAAAACAAGTATAAGTCTCAAAATCCACTTTTGTTCATACAAAATGCTGCTTAGACTTCACTGGCTTTCTGAATATTCTGTAGTTTTGCGTGAAAGAAGGACAGTCAGAAATAAAATTATGGATATTATTCTAAAGCCCAAAAATTAGGTTTATCTTTTGTGTTGTGAAGAATCTTTCCTAAAAAGGCATGGTAATAGTGAGAGAACATTGAATTACAGAAAAATATTATATTTGCTGAAGGAGTCAATCAAATGACTTAAGCTAAATAACCTACTAAACCTACCCTCTAATGGCAAGAGGTAACTTATACATTATACTTTCATTTGTTTTGATTTTTGTTAGATTTCTGCAAAAATACATGGAAGGGTGTTTAGGATGGAAGCAGGACATGAATTATAGTCTACTGGAATAGAATCTTAAACATGATGAGTTGATAGAGTCAACACTGTCTACTAAAATGCAGAGGTACGAGAGATCTTGATATTTAACAATGCTGAAGGGCTAAATAAGTTGAAATGTAACGAGTCTTTGTGTGGGTTTTAGGGTTCTTTATATATTATGTACTAAACTAATGATGTATCTAACTTTTTTACGATGAGTTAATTTTAACTCTGTAGCTGTTGTTTAAAAAAAGGAAATGGTGGTAAAACTCACTGTTTTTAAAAGGAAATGGTGGTAAAACT